AGTGGCCAGATTATTATGACCACCTGACGTTTGTAGGCAAATTAGCTATAATTTCACGCTGAAGTTGCTAGAGGGCCAGACCATTATAAATAGGGAAGCAGGTTGTTTACCACGACAGTAGAAGTGATTAGTTTCTGAAGATACGGCTAAACAACGCGGTTTAACAGCCTTTGAACGTGGGATGATTCGCGTTTCGTTAAATGTTCAGGGGCAGCTGTTGTTAAAGTGTTTAAAGACTGGACTGTCAGCCAAAAATCTGGGTCTGAACGTGCGAATTGTGGCCGTCAGCGACTAGTCAATGTTAGGGCAGAACGGAGAGTGGCAAGACGGGTACAAGACAACAGAAGGGCAACAGTGCCGTGTCAGATTCCTCGCATCACCTTCCAACATCTCATGGAGTCACGAGGTGGCCCAACGAAGTCATCTCGTGGAGTTATCTCGTGGCCCAACGAAGTACTGATGGGGTGGTCATAATAATATGGCCACTCAGTGTATATTATGATAATATAACATAATGTAAGACTATGTAATCATTTTTTTTTTCATATGCCCCATATAGAAGTTTCAGCCTTAAAAAATGTGACTCAACCGCAGAAGCAAGCGAAAATATCTGGCACATAGGCAGTAGTCCTTATAACTGCTGTAAATTGTCTTTTTTTTTACCTAGGGAATATTTATTTAAATAGTCGTCTTGGCTGTACAATGAAATTTTGTAGACTTGAAATCCCGAGCACAAATGAGAGGCTGGCAGCGCCAAAATAACAAGGGCCGTGCCCTTAAGGTACGTGTTGCTAAATTTGGAGCCAATCAGAGGATTATGTCAGGAACAGTTTTAGTTACGAACATCCAGAGATCCTCACGCACGCGGTGGAACATTTATTGTGACAGGAGCGGCTCCCAATATGGCAAGGAGCAGTGCCATCGCTCTGTAATTACCGCAATCTGTCAGGAACACTATGGACCTGGCAGGCGCAATGCTGCTCCTCCAGGGGGCACATTACAAACAAAGAGACAGGCTTGTCTGGGAGAAGATTGATTTAAATAGGTTGCAACACAAGATCTGCCTAAAACCTTGTTTCCTAATAGCAGGGGGAACTATATATAGTGCAATATCTCTGCCCGTGTCACCACAAGAGGCCAAGAAAATGTCTAAGTCTGCCCTTTGTTTTTTTGGTGTCTTCACCTGAATAAAGAACTGATCCAGAATTTCAGATGACATTAAAATTGGACCAAATTTCATGGATGGGCCCCATCAGAATTTCAGTGTTGTTTTTGGTGGTTCAAATTCCCAAAAGGCTTCTGTAAGAAGGTCATGCTGGAGTAGAAACAGGCCTTCATCCAACTGTGCTGAAGCATTAACAGTACCCATCACTAGAAATGCCTGACCTCAATATATGAACTGTGGTGCTAACAGGAGGATATTGAATATGAGTTGGATGGACATGGTCATGAGTGAAGACCTACGAAGAGTCAATTACACAAAGCCACGTCTGTGTTGAAGAGAAAATGGCAATTTTTCGAGGCCGTATCATAAGGAACTCCACCGGAGGGGAGCTGTGCAAGATTGTGAAGGAGAGCAAAGTAAAGAAATTGACTACGAGAACATGGTGGATGGAGGACATCCAATAAATGACAGGCAGAACATTGACCTGGCAACAGGCAAGGCCAAATGGAAAGCTATGGTGGAAGCAAGGTTCCAGGATTGAAGTTCACAAGCCATCGTAATGGTATCCACATACTTTTGGTCATATATTAGGTGTCATGGTCAATGATGTAACATTTTTGGCCCTATAGTATATATAGGAATCTGCTGCTTGAGGCTACATCAGAGGAATTCTATGTACAAGTTTCAGGAGCCAGTGCGATCCGATTATATTTATGTTTAGATCTAGAGCTTGCATGGTGATGTTCTCCTACGTGCAGTTTCTGGTTGGGTTATCCTATAGGTGAAAACCACCACCAGCCTCTTCTGATCCCAAAATGGCAGAATACCCTGAAGAATAGGTTGGACTCAACCACATAACGCATTTGTCATTTTTTTCTAGACCCCGTACTTCTGGACAACCAATAAATGGCCTGCTACAGAACTGGACTATGGTAATATTTATTTCTTTAATTAATTAATTTTGCTGTTGTTTTATTATGACATAATTAGAATGAAAAGAGGCAGAGATTTAGTCCCAGCACATCCTCTCCTGTTATAACATCAGCATTGTAATAGGAATACATACTGGAGGTGTTTCTTATAATACAATCAAAGCTTAGTTGAAAAACCCCTTTTATGTAGTGAGTGCTGCCCATCACTTCCAACAACTTCCTGGATTCCCAGTGTGCTTTGTATTTCTTTCCCTGCTGCTTCATGTGATGCAATCTCCATTTCTCAAGACATCTCCCATCATGCATTGCTTCCAGCAAGCAAGGTTGATGTTACATTGTTCAGACGTTGAATTGTAGTTCAGAAGGCAGGCTCTGTGAGAGCGGTGACACACATACTGTATATATACTTCAAGAAATTGTCAAAATGTTTCTGTAATAATATCTTTTTCTCTGTTGTGATTGTATTCTTTAGCTATTTATCTGGCAAAGAAAAACATCAGAAAACAAGGAGATCTGGTGGAGTATGAGAAGGTGAGCTTTTCATTTTTATACACCATCTCTTATATAGAGTTAAAGTGACATTAAAGCCTCAGATTTTTTAACATAAACCAATACTGTAATGTGTGCCTTACTGTAAATACAGATGATTTCAGCCGTACCTTGGCTGGCTTCGGCTGCACTTCGGTCAGCCGAGCATGCTCTGCATGTTCGGCTGAGCCAAAGTGCAGAAGGACTTCGACTCAGTCGATCCAACATCTGGATCGGCTGAGCCGAAGAGCTCCGGCAGCTCACTCGCTGCCGTTCGCCCCTATTCACATAGAGGCCGAACGTCAGTGAGCGAATAACTGAATGCCGTCGAGTTCGGCTCGGCTATTCTGATCGGCATTTCCGTGGTAACTCCGTGGCAGAATAGAAAATCAGTGAAAAAAGTTGAAAAAATAAAATAGAAAAAAATGTTTAGAAATGTAAATAAATGATAAATTTAAAAAATTGAATAAAGATTAAAGAAAAAAAACAACAATTGGGCGGAGCACGCAGTAACAGCTAGCTCCACCTAACTGTTTCCTATTGGCCCAGACCTACTAGAGTCTTCAAGCAGGTCCCCGGCCAATGAATAACAACTGGGCGGAGCCGGCCGTGATGTCGTGGCTGGCTCCGCCCAGTTGTTATTGTTTAATGACAGATCAGCATCCCCTGGTCATTTGGGGACGCTGATCTGTCATTACAACTGGGCGGAGCCAGCCGTTGTATTATTTAGGTAGCATGGGTAAGTCGGTGACCTGACTTCTCTTTACTGCATTTAGGCAGTACAGCTTGGTCACTGACCTGCTTCCAGTTTGCTATTGGACAAACAAGAAACTTCCCCACACTGCACAGGTGATCCCCCCTATGCCAATCCCTACACTGGCTTCCATCCCCCGCCCGCCTCTGCCAATCCCTGCACTGGCTTCCAATAGCCCAAAAGATAAAATTTAAAATATTAACAACCACTTACAAAGCCATCCACAACTCCGCCCCTGGCTATATCTCAAACCTGGTCTCAAAGTATGGCCCTAACTGACCCCTCCGCTCTTCAAAAGACCTCCTGCTTTCCAGCTCCGTCATCAACTCCTCCCATGCTCGCCTCCAGGACTTCACTAGAGTCTCTCCCATCCTCTGGAACTTTTTACCCCAACCGGTCTGTCTGTCTCCCACTCTGACTGCCTTTAGGCGATCCCTTAAGATTCATCACTTCAGGGAAGCCTATCCCGCCTCAACCTAACCACTCAACCATCACGTTCTCAAACAATTCATCCCCACACAGCTACCTCCTCATGTATCACTTCCCCCTCCCTTTTAGATTGTAAGCCCTCAGGGGCAGGGCCCTCCTTACCATCTTGTCTTGAATTGTATTGTGATTGTAATGTCTTCCTTATATTGTACAGCGCTGCGCAAAATGTTGGCGCTATATAAATTCTGTATACTAATAATAATAATAGATTGTTCCAAGAGACACCCATCCATTCTCTTTGTGTTCCAACAGGATAATTATAATCAGCTGCACAAACGAATCAACCACACGTGGGACTTTGTGGTGATGCAAGCACGGGAGCAGCTTAGGTGAGTGATCCCCATGCGACACTGACATTCTGGAGTTCACTCTGACCATTCATTTCTCACAGTGCTTGCTCTTTTTTTTTTAAATTCAAAAACGTCTTTATTAAAACGTACAAAAAACACAAAGTGTACAAAGTTGATGCAAATCGAGGGAACAAAGAACAAAACCTAAAGAGATGCATAAATTAGATCCATAACCATACATATGTATTATCATAACGGAGAAGTGAACGTTACATGTCTTATGCTGTTGCAGTGAGCCAATGCTGTGTAGTATATGCACGTCATGTTTTTCACGGTTAGGGTAAAAGGGGCATATGCATCTCCTTTTCAACTGGCGAACAGCTCAAAAAAGACCAATCGCATGCGGATTTATAAAGGTCTGAGCCACGTAGGCCGCGCTGGGGCTTGTAACGTCTTCATTTTAGTACTGCAAAATGCAAGAATCGTTTGTAATGCACAGTATCAAGAGTGGAAAAAGTAAACTTAGAAATATTGAGAAAGAGAAAAAACAAAAGAAGAGAGAGGGGAAAATAAAATACCAAGAATAAGGAGAGGGGGTCGGAAGCGGACCGTCCAACCAAGTGAGTGCTTGCTCTTTAACATTTCATGAACTCAGGTATATCGACTACCTAGAAAGATTGACCACTTAAAACAGCTGTCCACCAAAAGCAATGCTACAGTTGTAGGTGGAATTTGGTTGGGAGCCATGTCCTGGCTTCTTACACGTCTTGAGAACCCTAGTGGCAAGATCTGTCGGCCACAGGTCCTGGTGTTTTTGCCACTAACCTTAAGGTTAGTGGCATTCTCATGCCCTTCAGAGAAAGTGTTTTTGCCCATCTTGGATATTTGTGGGTTTCCACCCACTGTGGAATGGATGGGAATTCCTACCAACCTTAGAGCTATGGGTGTTCTTGCCCACCTCAAAGTTGTGGGTGTACATCCCCACTTTAAATATAGGTTAAATAATTTCTATTGACCCTATGGTTGTTGTCATTCCCACCCATAATGGAGTTGCAGGCATTCTAAACCACTTTTTAGCTGTCTGTTTTTTCACCCATCATAGAGTTATGGGTTTTCTCTCCAAACTTAAAGTTGGGAGCTTTTCTGTTCACTTAAGAGTTGTGGGAGTTCCCACCCTCCTTGGAGTTTATGGTGTTTCCCACCTTCTAAGAGATGTGTAAGTTCCCACCCTCTCCTAAGACATATGGATGTTCCCATCCCCTTAAAGATTTGGGCATTCATACCCTTTAGAGATTTGGGTGTTTTTGCTCTTCAGAGGTTTAGTTGTTCCTGTGTGTGTTCCAGACCGCTTTAGAGATTTGAGTGTTCCAGTCCTGCTTATAGAACTTGGTGTTCCCATTCCCTTTAGAGAATTGGGTGTTCCGGCCTCCCCTTAGCGATTTGGATATTTCTGCCCGTTAGAGAACCGGGTGTTCCTGCTCTTTAGATATTTTGTTGTTCCCATACCCCTTTGAGAATTGGGTGTTCCCATCCTCCTTAGAGAATTGAGTTTTCCAGCCCCCTTTAGAGATTTAAGTGTTCCCCTCCCGCTTAGAGAATTGGGTGTTCCCATTCTTTTTGGGGAATTGGGTGTTCCAGCCCCCCTTAGAAATGCAATGTCTCTGTCATTGAGCACACCAGGGCAGCCATATATATATACAATATTAAGTATCTTTGCACCTGGTGACATTGCTGTCAGATAAGACATCAGCGATGTCACATGTGACCAATGATAGATCCCAAAAGAACTGGCTTGTTGTGGTTGCTGATGATTCCCCAAAATGTCTTCTTCGCTCTTTACAGGCTTGATTTTCCCCCAGGGTATGGCAATGCCCATAGACGTGCAATCAACTGTCTAAAACTATCTGAAGTAAAAACTGCCCATGCTGCCAATGGCAACCAATAAGCTTCTCCTTTTTGATTCTCCGGTGTAGTTCACAGACTGAAAAGCAAAAACTAACTACCACGCACCTCTATAAATTCCTCTAGAAACTCCCAGGCCACAGACCTAAAATGGAGCTTCAAACAGCAATTTGAAGTCCACTGACTAAGATCCGAGGTCCTCAGATGAGTACAGACAAGGTCACGGCTCTTCCTTGGCACATTCACTCGGCCTGTCAGGCCCAATTGGCCTCAAATCTTTGTTTATGACAGTAAACTATTCTAATTTCTTTCATATTTGCTCAAACCGGGTGACTACGACAAGGAGGAAGCCGGATCTGATATCTCCACCTTGGGAGCAGAAGACTTCAAGTCATCATTAGCTCACAGTGGGTCATGTCAGGACTAATCCCCCTCAAATGTCTTTTCAGAAGGCCGAGATTAGCTGGAAAATAAAAAATTCTGTTATATTAAAAGCACGCGAGTATCAGAAAGTCACAGAGCTCTGGCTGTAATGTGAGACGTACGGCGTTGTTTGTGATTATTTTTGATTTTCCTTTGTGAAAAATGTAGTTCACCGGTAGCTATCCAAGAAGTAAGGCCAACGTGTCAGTCCTCCCTGTGATGAGATCGCAGGATTGTGAATTGAAGAGCCCTCTGCATTTTTACATTGTGAAAGCAGAGAGCCATGTGACACCCACTTGGGGGTGGGTCCTTGAAGCCTTGCACTTACAGTATATCCTCAGTCTTCTGGGATACATGACACAATTCATTCGATCAACCTGGAAAGCTGAGGACATCTTCTGGTAGAGAGGAGGTATTGCAGGGGACAGAGCCAGGAGGAGATGAGTATTGCAGCCAGAGCTGCTTTTTTTTTTTTTATTGTAAACGCTTTTTTAAAAAGAACTGGAGTTGGGCTTTACAGTTAGCACTGCATGGGCACAATATCTGTGAAAAGTAAACCAAAGAAACTGGACTTGCTGTATTTTTCTTGAAGACGTTGCGCTAGTTATCCAACCAGCTTTCTCAATTCTGAATTGAGAAAGCTGGACAAAATGTCTTCAAGAAAAATCTGGCTGCTTTGCTTTCTTTTTTGACAGATATACCATGACCTGGAGGGATGAGAACCTTCACAGACACCACAGGGGCAATTTGTTTGGTTGTACAATTACGCAACTACAATCTCTAGAGATCATTCGCCTGCTTCAGAACACATTGCTCGATATAGCAAGAGTGTCATGGGCGATTTTCAGTCACATGACCCCAGTAATGGTTGTGAATCAGATTTACAAATAGTGGAAGCAACTTCTTTCCCCTCATCTTCTGACAAGTGATTCATTGCATACAATCGCTTCCAAATTAGATTAGAATTTAGGCAAGAAGCACAAAAATCGCTAATCACTAGGAATAGCAACTCCTACACATGGTCAAAAGGAGCTTTTGTGACCCTCATCAGCCATTTTGTGTCCTCTAATAACCAGTGCCCTATACCAAAATAGACAGACCCAGAGAGACTGAGCGGAGGGGCTACATGACTGGGGGGGGAGGAATAGTCCCTGGAGAAAAGGTTAGAAATAAGTTGGGAATTAGCTGATCTTACCTGATTGGACGTTGGGGTCAGGTGTCCGGGAAGGAGCTGCATGGGTTGGAACTGCAAGGGCTGAGGGGCGTTCTTTCAAGAATCGACGGAGGAAGCAGGTTGTCCCACCCGCCCTCCCTGAATGTTGTGGTTTCTGATGGTTGCTAGGTCACGGCAGCTTAGTGGATTAGGGGGTCTTTGGGGGGTCTGAAAATCAGAGTCAATTACACAAATGGGGGGCCATCAGCTGGTATGGGCGCTTCTCCCTGTTGGTAACAGTATTTGTCGGGTGACTGGCCCCCTTGGAACTTGGGAGCAGTAACTGCCCTGGAGCTGGTTGGGGTGAGGCTGGGGACATGGTAGCAGTTTTCAGGAGAGGCCTTATTTGTGCTGTTGGGCACCGAAAGACCCCAACAGTCCTTAAGATTATTTATTTTTATATGACTTTGTTTATTACTTTGGTTACTGTTAACATTTGTTTGATTAATAAAAGGGCTGCTGTGGCCATTTAAATCCATGTCCGCAGTCTGTGTGTTTGGTGTTTTAACAGAGGGGCGTAATCGAGAAATCCATCAGTCAAGCAAAGTACAGGAAGTTATGTCACCAGTCTTTTATCATCTTTAAGGTGTATCTAAAGGCCATTTGTTTTTTTGTTTCCGGGTAAGCTGGGGAATGGTTAGAACTGCTGTCGGGTTTGGTTCGCTGTTTTTTGCTCATTTCCTGTCCTAGAGACCCAACAGCAAGTGGGAAGAAATCTCTCTAAAGTAAGGGAAATCCTGTCTTAGACAGTTGTCACCAGAGCAAGTGTCCCCATTGGAAGATCTCCCCTGTATTCTCCTCACCACTCTATTCAAAACGAAAAAATGTCTTTACACGCACAATATCCCATCACTTTGTTAGTACACCCCTTTTTTAAAAACTGCCCATTCCTTTGCATCCACAGGAGTATTGCGAGTTTAAGAAGTCTACGGGTGACGACACAATCCCCAGTGTTTATATTGGGCTTAAGGACAAGTTGTCCGGAATCAAGAAGGTGGTGACGGAGTCAACGGAAAAATTTATTCAGCAGCTGCTAACCTCCTACACAGATAAGCTTCAAGAGTTTGCAAAGGAAGGTGAGTCTGCTTGTTGTTAGTCTGCCCATACACATACCATCAATTATATGTATTTATATAGGTGTGTCAATCACAGAGAGCCATTCAATTTGTAGAGCTGGTACACCCGTGTTTAGACATAGGTGTATTCCATATGGTTCTGGCCCTTTCTTGTCACACCAAATACAGAGTCTGATAAAATGTGGTGAGCTCAGGTCATGTGTTCAAGGCATTGTATTAAACCGTTTTCATTTTTATTTTTGTAAGTCATGTTCATCCTGTGCCAGGCTGATTTCTATATCTTATAATTACTCAGGCTCCACTGCATCTGCATCCACTGCCCATTGACCCAAGGCCTCATGGGGACAACCCTCATGCAGTGAAGTTGAAGGGTAGAGCCTGTAGACAATGTTTAGCCCTTTACAATGTAACGCTCACCCACGAAG